GTGAAGATAAGAGAGTAACAGCCGGCGATCCTCAGCAGTCCATCGTGGGTAGGAAGAATGATAGGGGGCCGCGTAACCTGGGACCACAAGGCGCGGCAGAGACGATGCCTGAGACAATCGAAGCAGTTCGCATAATGACAAAGGTGACAACGCAAAAATATTCACCTACGTGTTATGGCCAGAAATGTCTACGAGGTAGGTCGTTGTTTTTAAGGTAGGAATGCCCCTTGTGGGTTCCAGTAAGCAAAAATGTAGCCACAGCGAGTGCCTGACGGTAGCGGTGGTAACAGTGGAATAGCATATGAGTGCACGCGAAGTCAACTAATAGATGAGAAGAACACTCCCTTCACCTCAAGCCCAGTAACTACAGAGTAGGTGTCTTTGTGTATGCGATCGATGGACAACAAAGCCGAAACCTCATTGCTTTCTTCCGTTGACCACTAGGAAACATTATGATTGGCGGATCTCTCACCTAGTACGCTGTTCACTGTTCAGAATTATCGATCACACTAACGCGATACTTTCACGGCTGTCCTTCCTTAAAGAATCTGCGTATTGCCAAAAGATACCAAACTCCGACGATGAAAGCTTGTCTGCTAATAATACGGCACGTGGACTTATGCCACTACAGATGGTTGCGGTGGAAATGAATGCCATCTAAGATATGCGCGATATTCTGGACGATAGGTATTCCCTGCTTATATCCAATTCCGTACATAGTTAATTAATTCTCTGTTTTCACCCTAGATTTAAGTTGCCTTAGGAAATGCGTTTGACTTTGCGTGCTGCTCAGCTGAAAGTAATGTGCATAAAGGGACTCGGAACGAGTCCCTTTGGCTCAATGAGGTAAGTGAGTTATGTAACTCATCGGTGAGCGCATATCTAAGAACCAGAATATATTTCGTCGGCTAAACGAAAACGACAAGCGAAGATTTTCACATTTTCCATCAAAAGTTTCTCCCATACGCCCAACGTTCTGTTCACTAAATCCAGAACCTGGAATAGAATTTATTTTTATCGGTATAAACAGCTTTTTCGAAAAATAGAACATTAGTGAACCAGTGCCTAGGGTTGAATTTACTAATTATTATTTTAACCACACCTAGACCGAATGTTTTTTTTAATTATAAAAAGGCATTTAGGCCCTTCGCCCAATGTTTCATCAGTTCCTGTCCATAGTCTGTACGTCAAGGGTTGACAACTTGGTGCGTTGTTAGGAAAACAGTTGTTCGATGTCTACAACAAGCATTTATTCTGGAAAGTTGTAACACTACCTATATAAGTAAAAGTAGTGTCAGTAGAATCCCTGGGCGTGGATGCGTCTCTGCCATCCATTAACAAGATCGCTGATGTCTGCTCAGTAAAAATCCACTGGCTTTGATCCTAAGAAATATTTGAATCCAGTTTCCACCTCAGTTTTTTTTTCTTGAAAGTTTTATTGTTTATACAGGAGTCTAGATGCCCGAAAAAGAGGCAGTAAGCGGATGAAAGGTCGGGCGGAGGTGGTAACCGTAAGTAGTTTAGCTTTTTCAGTGTGTTCCTGGCAAAATGTAGTCTGTACTTGTCGTGAAGCAAAATTTGGCCACGTCGAGTCAGTACCCGCAGGTCACAGTTTTTCCTAAGTAGACCTTCGTGTCTTCAAATTGCTTGCAGCAAACCTCTGCTGTGATGCTCTTATTAGCTCCAAGAAAGTTGTCATGAAAAAAAAAACGATAACAGACTCCCCACTAGCCTTTTAGCATAATCTTGTGCAGATGCAAGCTCGGTCTGAGGAAATGGTTGTGTGCTTCCAGATGCAAACCGAAATTTACTGAAGGTATGTGGGTTGAGGTCTACCAGACAGTGCACGACGGCCGCGTATCATTCACAAGCTCTCGAGCGCACTGCGGCTTCGCTATACTTTTCACTTATTTTCCAACAGACAACATACACAGATCCTGTATTTGGCATATTACTATCGGCCACAACAAAAGAACCGTGAATGCTGTAAGAAATCAAATGCTCCTCACTGTCACAGTGTTTTCACAGAGCGTTTTGAACCTATTGGATTTAACTCCCACCCACGCTCGATGTCGACCTTATAAAATATCCGAATCTAGAAATGCCTGAACCCGGAAGTTTGCCCGCAGGAATACCTGTTGATGATGTGCAACCGCGCAACTCATTCGCCAAACATTTTAACCAATTCAGCTACATGGGTTTTGTGATTGGTGTTTTGGTTGTGTTTCCTGCAAGTGTGGTTTCGCAAAATTAGCCCACAAACGACCGACGCCAACCTCAGGTCAGGTTCATTAAGGGAAGTATTGGCAAACGCCTTTGAATCCCTAATTGGAACAATGTAATTAAGAAATACGTCGCTACTGCAGAATATTTAAAAAGTGGTCGCTTACATCAGGCAGGCGAAAGACCAGACGCCAGTTCGTTCCAACTACCCACTGTCTTCAAATTAACATGATCACATGCGTAGACATTAATTAGGTAATGGCAATTGACGAGTCGCATTTACTGCTCGCCATTAACGCAAATTACTGTCCGGCTCCACCACGACACCACGGGTAAATGGTACACCACAAACTACTCATTCGTTTATACCGTGATCGTGCGTCAGAGAAGACCAAAATGGAATTGCAGGCTTCGGTCGGTTATCTAGGATAAATGATCTCCCAACAAGCAATGCAGCAGAAACTGGAAAGCAAACGAACTTCTTTTACATGAAAAAACTCCGATGTCATACCCAATCGTCCAAAGCATCAATAATAATGATCACAGAAACCAAGTCACACTGACCCAACATAGATTTTCTTCTCTTTTATGATATCACACCTATTTTTCTTCCGCCAACTTTGACGAGGATCTTCAGGCCTGGTTCCTTGTGGAAGGGGAGAAGTGAGATACCATGTGTAAGGAATAGTGTATTCTGTGCAAAGAAATTTGAGAATAGGTAGTAGGAAGTTGCCTGTCGCAGGAGCGTGTATCCGAAGTGAGGGAGCGCATGCTGTCACCGGGAGATGTAATCTCGTGCATGCGTTGGGCGCAGCTTGCGGCATCTAAGACTGGCTGTCCCATGATTGATTGCCATCACATACGAATAGTAAGATTTTTTGATAAAGCCACTCATGGGCACCTTCAAATCATTGCAAAACAGGAAAAAACTTTAAACAAACTCCTTCATTTGCAGTCAATATTGGCTAGATTTCGGTTTTATACTTGGTCTATAGTGAGCCAAATAGGGAGCTCTGTTGTTAATAAAAAAATTCCGTCCTTAAAGGACTACAAACAGCAAATTATAAAACTGAATTGCTCTAGCTTATAGGTGTTAAGGTTTTTCATTAAGAATATTTTGGATCAAGAAAAAAACTGTCCTTTGTGGATTTGCGATTTGTTCTTCAACAGAGGTAAATGTGGACGGAGTAGATTCGAAGTATAAGAAAACCCAATCAGATGTCAGCGCGTCGTTCGGATGCGTGGTTCGGCCGATACGAAATTTAATTGTGTAGCAGGTCGTAGGAGGAGG